GTGGGCTCGATACAGATCCTCTCAAATCCCGACCCACTGGATTATGGACTGCCTGCGGAGTATCGCACAGCGATCAGAAAGTTTCTCGGATACGCGAGAAGCAGAGGCTTGTACACCGCCTCGCTCTGTGAGACAGTGAGTCAGATTCCGAAACATGATCATTATCATTTTCGTGAGGACTCAACTCACCGTGCTGCCTTGGCCTCTGTGATCGGCCAGCGGATTAAAGTGTGTCAAGCAGACCACTTGTTCGCGAAGATGCCCACAGAGATGCTGGATGAGCTGGTGCGCAGGTTCCCTTTCCATCCGGAAGGAACCCGGGTGTATTCGATGCAGTATGTCTTTGACAAAGCATTGTTTCGCTCCCAGCTCTCCCGCCGCCTTTTAAGGCAGGCCGAGATTCGCGAAGCGGCAAATGAATGCCCTAATCCCTGGGAGTCTCCCTATGTTCCCCCGCCTGATCTCCCTGTCACTGGAATGCGCGAGGTCCCTACGGAGGTTCTGAACTGGGAGTGGGCTACTGCCCGCGAACAGGCACAGAAGCACGCAAAGGAGCAAGCAGAAGCACGCGCCCGTGCCGAGCGAACGGATCCAGCCCCACTTAGTGGTGGCCTTTCTGGAAGCGCATCATCCCGTGATGTACCGGAGGTATCCTTTGATGACGTCATCGAGGCCATCCCTTATCGCACGGAGTCGCATGGACCTTGTCCGCGGCTCGCGAGGGCATGACTAAGAAGGACCGGGATCCCTCCAGCGGCTTTTTCAAAGCTCGCCAGCACGATTACATTGGGGTGAAGTTCCAAGACGACCTGGACCTCATGGAAATGTGTGGTTTCGTCGACGAGGACGTGTGCCCAGAGGATCCGGAAGGGGCGGAGATGGTTCACATCCTCCCCGATTCGATTCCGAAGGACCACCTGCCGAGATTGAACCTCAAGCCTTACATCGAGAGGTATCTCACTGGTGCTGTCCGAGGATCGAACACAAAGCTCGACTCACGGCGCGGGAAATGGGTCCGCATCCAGGACCTCATCAACCATATGTGGAAGAAGCACGGCGTGGATCTGGGAACACGGGGCATTTTGTCGTTGGTTGCATACGACAACAAGTCGAGATTCAACTTGGCAGGCCTCCCCACCGATCCCCGTGCTGATTATGTCGAGACTGACATCTGGCCATCCTGGATTTGTGCGTCCCATGGCCACAGTGAAAGGACCAGAGATCAAGTCACCGACGCCTCCATCGCGCTGCATTGGTACACCAACGACACGCGGGAAGAACTGGGAGCTTCAGCCGCCTATGAAGGCAGGCCATTTTTAGCAGCACTTGGTGAATTCCCGCCGCGTCTCTACCACAGGACGACGCACGACGCCGCCTTCAACATCCTTCGTTCTGGCTTTACGCCTGGGTACGGCAAGAGTGGTAAATTTCACAACTACTTCGCCAAAGCTACCCTCAGTGAACTGGAGAACAAGGCGGGCAGCCGTGCAAATCTGCCCTACGAGATCGTGCTCGACACCCAAGAGGTCAATCGCCACGCATACCTCTTCGAGACAACATCCGAGGGTATCCTTACCCGAGATGTGGTGCCAGGCTCGTGCATTTTGTACGTCCGTGACACTGCTAAGGGAGTAATCCTGTGGTCCCGCCAATCCAGCGAGGAGGAGGATCTGCACCGGTCCCGGTTGTCGACCCAGGTGCAGATGAGCAGGAGCAGTTCCCCGACATTCCGGAGGAACCTTCAGCCCCACTTAGTGGAGGCCGAGAAGAAGATGAAGCATCCATCCCGTCTGCCCCCGCAGACGAGCCTATGGTCGAAGTTGAGATTGAGGAGGAACCGCCAGCATCATCGGCACCTCTTGCTCTCAACGACGCCACGGCCTCCGACTTGCTTCCCGAGGAAACGGCAACATTGGATCAGGGGGGCGCATCGCCACCAGATGTGCGAACTGAGTCCAGAAAGCGACTGCGTTTCCTTGAGCCAGAGGAACCTGTCGAGGTCGAGATCGAGATCGACGATGAAGAAGGCGATGTGAAAAAGGAGGAACAAGAGGCCAAAGTCGAGCCGATGTTCGAGCAGGCACCGCCTCAGCCGGAATCGACTCCGTTGGCTCTCCCTCCAGCCCCCGTTACGGGTGGCCGCCACAGGGCATGTCCCCACTGCGGTGCGCAGCATCTTGTGGGACAGATGATCTGCCTCAGCTGTGGCGTTCACATAGTGAAGCCTTCCCAGCAAAACGCACGCAAGAAAGTGCGTACAGCTCGCTGGTTCGCTGAAGAGGCCGCCGCTGCCACTGCCGGCAAGCCCCGTTCCCAGCTGACGCCGGAGGAGGTCATCAACGAAATGACCAGAGACTCCTCGACACAGCGTGGAACTACGTCGCTTGACGCAGAGGCTTTGGACAAGGCCAGGCAGCAGTTGAAGATGGCGACAAAAGGAGGCTACACAAGCATCGTACACCGCTTTGACAACGATGTGGACTATACTATGAGTTCCATCGGCAATGGGTACGATCGTGAGTTTCTGGCCATCGAAGACGTGCTTACGCATGCTGCACTGCCGAACCATGGCCGTTCGAAGGAGCAACGACAGTTAGCTGTCGGCACCTACGGTGGAAGCTCCGAAGGGCCACGAAACCAGGAGATTGCTCGGCTGCTCTATTTGCACGAGTGCAATCCAGCCGCCCTCAGGGCAGGCCTGATCTCCGCAGTGAGTGACGATCCGTTTTGCATCATGTGGCTGGGAGGGGCATACAGTTTGCGTAAGTTCGTAGATGTTTTCCTCCAGCACAAAATTGTGAAAATGATTGTTACATTCTCAGAAGAGGCACTCTACGTTGATCCACGACTCGGCTATTCTGCTGAGGACTGGACTGAGTGGCTCAGTGGGAAATTCAAGGTACAGGTCGGTATTGCATGCCGTGCATATGAGGAACGCCAACGCAATGCGGAGAGTTCTCGCATCGCACAGGCAAAAGCCGATGCACGCCGAGCTGAGCAGCAGCGCTATCAGCAGGAGTGGGACCAAGGCTATCAGCGCGGGTCCCACCCCTATGGCCGCTCCTCCGGTTCCCGAGGATGGTACTAAGTACCTGATCGTCATTTCGTGGTTCCGTCACGTTAACCGGTACTCCAAAATACAGCCCCTCCTAGAGGTGGCCGAATTTCCTTAAGACCAGAAAAATTTTATTCTGCATTTCCTGGCAGTCACTTTGTGACAAATCCGAACAGCCAGCAGCTCCAGAGGATGATGTATTCGTCCCACGCTGCACACGTTCTCGCGACTCGTATCCACGCCATCAATCAAGGCTTGCTGGATCGTCGCCACTTTATAATGCATGTCGCGACTTTAAACTGCGCGTTGAAAGAATTAATCTGCTTCCGTATCTTCCGCTTTACGGTAGTAGAAACTCTATGAGCCCCAAGCCACAATCCAGCCGCCTTGATGGCAGGCCACACAGCACCAAGCTTCCGTGCATGTTTGCGCCTCAGACTGTCGCCTCGGCGAGGGGGGGTGTAATTTGTGCACGTGTGAAGTAGCATGTTGTGTGTGTGACATTGTGGCACAAGTGCTCTGAGGGTAAAAAGGCGTAGATACCCAATGGTACAGCTGCGCTAGTCCTTAACACTTGGACGGGTATCATCAGTGCGTGTGTGCAGTGGTTTACAACAACTATAGTGCAGAACCGCAGACCCTGCACCCAAGCCAGCCCCGCCCAAACCCCGGCACCTCCCAATTTCCTGCCACTCAGTGTCCGGGGTTACCGGTTCCAAATTAAAGAGACCAACACTTTTTGGTTGGGGGGGGGGGGGACCGGGGAGACCCGTCGATTAAACCGACCGCCACATTAGGGTATGTGAGGACGGCCTGGCTAGCCTTCAGTCCAGTAGCATAAACGGCAGAGGGTATAGCGGAGATGGGGTTTAGTGTTCGAGACATGTAGTTCAGGTCAATGTTCTTGTGTTGCTGTCACGCTTGCGTTTGCATCCCTCGCTAAACGAGAAGGCCCTGCAGTTGAGGGGTGTTTGCTGGCACACAATCCACGCCTATCCAAGCCCGGCGTCTTAGGATTTAGCCTTCAAGGTTCCAGTCTTAGGGTTCGGGCTGGAAAGGCTTTTGGTTTCGGGCGGGTATATGGTTTCGGAATTAGGGCTCACGAGTGCGATGTGCTTGGGGATTCTGGCCGGGCGAGCACTAATCAAGCCTGTGGAAAAGGGCTTACAGGTTTCAGGCTTTCAGGTTGTAAGGTTCAGGCTTTCGGGCTGCAGTTTAGGAGTTTAGGGATTAGGGTTTTCCGTGCGGTTTGGTTCCGGCTTTGGGGGGTTGCGGGTTAAGTTCCTCAAGGGGTTTAGGGTTTCGGACAGGTTATGCAAGCGAGACCGGATTTAGGGGTTTAGCCTTGGGGTTTTTGCAGTCCAGGCTGGTTAGCGTTCGGCCGTATGGTTTTAGTGGCTTTAGGGGTTAGGGTTTAGGGTTACTGTCGTTTAGGGATTAGGGTTTAGTGGGGTTTTTGGGTTTAGGCTTCAGAACTTCCAACGTTTGATTTCAGCCCTCAGTGGGTTCCCAGCACAGCCGGAAGAAAAGGCTTAGACTTTGTCACTTCTTATTATGTTTGGGGAAAAAGGGGCGCATGGTTTAGGGTTTCGCATGTAAGGTGTTCGGGGTTTACGGTAAAGGGTGTTGTCGGGTAGTGGGGCGGCGGGTTAGTGGGTCCTGGGTAGAGTAGTTCCTGAGTAGTGCCGTGCGTCTCTGTCCTTGGTGTTGGCTGGGTTTGAGGCTTCAGGCTGTCATACCACTTTAAGTGGCACATGTATGTTGACGCGAGGGAGCGAGGGAGGCCAAACGTGAGAATTAAAAAAGGCGCGAGACCGGACGAGAAGTCACGAGCAAGACGCCAAGAAGTTACAACTCCTGCAGCCATGCTCCGGCTGCATTCCTTAGCTTATGGCCGAAGGGTTTGACAGGCGTCGAGCTGGAAGTGCTACCGGCACTTGCTGAGGTGAAGTCTGTGCCAGCGAGACCATTGCGACAGAGCTTGCCGAGCAGGCAAGAACAGCTTCGGCTCGTTGCAACTCCAGTTTCCTGGCTTGTTGTTTGGCTTGCTGAAACCGGTGCCCATGACTCGGTCTCGTTGTCGTGCGCTGCGCGTTGAACCAAAGGTCAAAGCCTCTGCCCTCATAGCAGAAGCGACTACGGCGCCTTGCATGCAAGTCTAGCTTGTGGAGACCGGCTTCGCGTGAGCCGGCCAGGTCCTGCAATCCCGATCGAGCGGTCACAACTCTGCACCTACTCCGCGGCCTCGAGACCCAACCGGGCCAGGCTGGACTGATCAGGTTCATCAGGTTCATGAAGGTAGGGGCAGGTTTCCGAGAAAGAGATATGGCCAGTGAGCTGGGTTCGAACGGCGACTGTGCTTGCTACTTGTAGCGAGCCCAGCGTAGAGAGGCATGTGAAGTTGGATCTCTTACAGCTTGTGGTTGGTTGATTGTTGGAGATAGTGGCTGGAGTGGGTCGTCTGGTGTGGCGAGGGCGGGGTCAGAGGTAGTCTGGTCATCGCCAAGTTGAGCTGTGTGTCCAAGTCTGGCATAGATGCTTGCATCGTGCAGGGGCTGTCAGTGGCGATTGTGAGGCCCTGCAGAGCGCGGGTCCTCCAGGAGCAAGTCCCAGGCCAGTTCCGTTGAAACTGTGCTCCTGGTCCATTCTGTGGTCCATCGTGTTCAGGGGCCAAGGCAGTCTGGAACTCGGCAGCCCAGAGCTCAGCTGCGTTCTCATCCTCGGTCTTTAAGAATTGGAAGGCATTTGTCACGAATGGCACAAGCTTTCGATGGTTGCTGGTGGGAGCTCTCCTTCCTTGCAGCACGAGGTTGGCCCGCATCGAGGGTGTTGTGACCGAGATCCAGCGTGAGCTCAACGAGGTCAAGGTTCTGTCGGATAGCCGCCCGCCAAGAATCAGCTACATGACTCGCAGCGGACGTAGGCTCCTGCCCTCGCCACGCAGCACGTTCGAATCACCGAGGTTTTGAAGAGCCTGGGACGCAGTCCACTCTGCTTGCTCCTGGTGCCTGCATCCCCACTGTGGCACACGTGGGCGTCGGTGAGCTCATGCATGTGGCAGGGGGCATAAGCCCTGTGGGAAGTCGCACGAAAGTACATCCGCATGGGGCTACGCTCCTTCACCCGCTTCACCCAGCGGGGAGCATAAGCCCCGCCTACCTCCCGGCGGGGACACCGCGCCCCACACACAGTTGGTACAGGGAGCTCGAGGAGCGCAAGTGGCGGGCAAATGCAGAGCACATCTTGATGATCGAGCATCCTGACTGCCGGGTATACTGTTAGAAAATGGGGGCTGCTGCTGTTGCAGATGCTGGCCTAATTAACGTGTTCTTTTTGAGGTCAAGCTGGGCGCAGCGTGTCAAGGAAGCAGAAGAAGCTGCATCCCGCTCGGATGAGCGAGCACGAGTGGCGGAGGCAACAACAGACAACGGATTTTGATTCTGCCTGGAGCTTTTGAGGAATGTTGGAAGGTTCCGGAAGCCACCCCGAAGCTGTACCTCTTGAGACATACTGCGCCAGCCAGGAAGCCCACGGCCGCTTGCTGCGCGAGAAAGCCGAGATGGCTGACGTAGGTTGACCGAACTGGTACATTTTGTCCATGGAATCAAGATACCGAAAAACTTGCAGATCTTGCAGGGAGCGACGTGTGGCACAAATGACGAATTTCATCATGCTGCAGTCAAGCCAAGGCAGCCCAAGCGCGTGCAAGGCAGTTGGCTGAGGAGCAGGAAAAGTACACCTTCCTGGAAGGTCGTGAGACAAGTGCCTAGGCGGAGAGCGCGGAGTTTGGCAAACGCGAGACGGGAGCCCGGGGGCCCTGCCGAGGCTTGCAGGCAACTCTGTCAGCCCTGGAAGACCGCGCAGCGAGCGCGGACAAACTCGCAGCCGAGCATCAAGCAGAGCAGGCGCTGGCAAATGGCCCGGGTTGAATACTTTTTGAAACTGAACACTCTACCAAGGCGCTTGGACTGATATGTTGAGGGTACAAGCTCGTTTTCTGCTGTGGTTGGGTGCGACAGTGGCATGACATCGGTCCATTGCCAGTGGCTAGCGTAGCGCTCTTGATCTTCAAGTCATTCTTTCTAGTCCGGGGTCGACGTGGACGTGACATCATTACGCAGTCAGACTTGGATGAGGCTGCAGTGGCCGACGAACTCGACTTGGTTACTGGCCGCTTCGAAGAGCAGCTGCAGCACAGCATGGAGCTCAAGAAGGAGCTCTCAAGGAGCCGTGTTGAAGCTGTTTTTTTGGGAGGACGTTCTGAGTGCAAGGTTCGTTGAGCGCCCATGCAGCCGCTTCTTGTGTTTCAGCTTCTCCAGGCCTTGTGGCCGCATGTCCGCCTCTACAGGATGCGTGATGAGCTCGATGCCCGCAAGACGGACGAGCAGCTGCGTGTTTCCAATCTGGGAGCCAATCTGTGTTTGTCTGTGTGTGTGTGTGTGCGTGGGGGGCGTGCTGCTGCTGCAGTTGCTGCTGTTGCTGCTGCTGCGGCGCAGAGATGTTTGTAAACTTTGGCATGCATGCGAACAGCCGCATCAAGGACGAAGCATCGAGACATCGAGCGCGAGTGGAAGCAGCGCGTTGAGGAGCTGAAGACCGGCTTGACAACCGCGCGCGACACAATCCAAGCCCAAAAGATCCAGATGGCCAAATTGATGCTTGGATTCGGAGAGTCTTATTGTGCTGCAGTGGACTTCAAGTGCCCTGGCGCTCAGGAAGGCGTCGGAGAAATCCGACACCAACTCCGACCTGCAAGAAGCAATAGCTCACTGGAAGACTCAGCTGAGCCAAGCCAACTCCAAGCTCGAGGAGAGGTTCTGCAAAATAACACTACGCTAGAGGTGAGGTGCACATCTTGGTGCACATCTTCTGATTGTTAAACCGAAGAAACCTGGGCCGTGCCCAAGATGTCCCAAGGACACATGTGTAATCTTAGCTTAGGCTAGGGCGGCTAGGACTGAGACGGAACATGCTGTGCGTTTTTGCAGTGACAGATCTCTTTATTCCGGGTGGCCAGAGTTTTGCCGAGAGTCTTGTCCATGAAGGATCAGCACCGGCTGACCACGCACCTGCAACAGAAGCTGGCCTCCTTGGAGGATGAGTTGGCGGCAGCGCATGCGGCGCATGCGAGCCAAAGCAACAGCATGCTCATGATTGACCAAAGCAGCCAGTCTGAAGAAGCTGTGGAGACCTATGCGGACATGGTTGAGGTCCGAGAGCAGCTCCGTGGCGAGCTGAGGGAAAGAGAGGCAGCGATATTGGCAGCCACACGGCAGGTAGAGATGTGCGAGTCTTTGAACAACGAGCTGGACCAGGCTGTAGCCGATTTGCAGACAGATCTGACTGCTTGCAAGCAGAAAGAGGAAGCACATCAAGCAATTGCCGAGTCCAGAGACGCCGCAGTGGAGGAATGGAAAGCACAAGCGCAGCAGTGGCAAGTGCGAGCTTCACAGCTTGAAGAAGAGTTGGATGCTCAGGTGAAGGCCCTCCAAAAAAGTGTATGTCAGGTGACAGACTCCACGACTCAGATCACGAAGCTGGAATCGCAGCTTTCGAGCTTCAAGCAGACCGCCGAGAGCAGCCAGGTCGTGATTGCCAGCCTGAAGCAGGAAGCCTCAGAATTGCAAGCCGTCAGAGCACGAGAGGTGCAGATAAAAAGCAAAACGGAGGCCTTGGAGCAGGAGCTGGCAGTTGCCAAGTCCGAGAGTCATAGCTTGCGAGAGGAGCACCTGGCCCTTCAGCAGGCGGTCGAGCACCACACCGGGCTCGAAGCCGACGCGCATGCCGAAGCTGCAGGCTTTAAACATGCTCTGGAAGCGGCTGCGGAGAAGAACATGCTCCTCGAAAGTACAACTCAGTTGATGCAGCAGGAAGTCGACGCTCTTGAAAACGAGACAGCCTCGGCAAAAGGAAGAGCAGGGGAGGACCAGCAGTACATTGCCAAACTTCAGCAGCAGTTGGAAGTCCTGGAGGATGAGATCGTAAGTAGCAAGAAGCTACAGGAGGCTCAGTTGGGCACCCATGCCGATCTGCATCGTGCTCTCCTCCAGACGGAAGACCAGCTGGCCAGATCCTTGCGCAACGACGAGATGCAGCAGGAGTTGACTGCTAAGCTGCGCAGTTCCCTGAATTCCTCAGAGGTCAACCTTTCCGAGTACCGATCGAACTTGGAGGCTCAGGAAGCCATGGAGTCCCAGCTGAGGAAGCATGTGGACAGCTTCCGATCCGAGTCCAAGGAGCAGAAGAAGATAGCGACGGACTTGAGGCTGCGACTGGCGGAGTCCGAGGACGAGCGGAACGCCTCCGACACGGCCTACCAGACCTTGCAAAGCATAGAAACGGAGCTCCGCGGCCAGCTTTCGGAAGAGAGAGAGCAGCTCTCCGAACTGTGCGGAGCCCTTCAAGTGCAGCAGCCGGGGGACCCGGCTACCCCGGCGCTCGAGAGTCATAGCAGAAGTGCAGCAGGTGCAGCAGTGCGCTTCAGCCCTGAGGTCTGTGAACGCTCAGCTGGAGCAGAGCTTGGCCACCAGCGTTTCCGAGTTGTCCCAGGCAAGAGCAGACGCATCCATGCAGGACGGTCTTGCGAGGCAGCTAGAAGACAAGCTCGCGCCGCGGCTGCATGTGACAGTGATACTTGCGACTTCGTACAGGTACTAGTGCCTCAGCAAGGGTGTGTTGCAAGCAGCTGCCGCTGAAGTATCGCTCTCTAGCGAAGCCAATTAGCTTTGCCTCTTCAGTTCCTCAGTGCTCCTTATGGCCAGGCATGAGTGATTTTTTTTTGCGCCCTTAGCGCCCTGTGACCGAGGAGGCATCAGAGGCGTGTAAAGTCCACACGGAAGACAAGCTGCAACGGCATGCAGACTGTGCGTCTGAGCTACAAGAGCAAGTTATCCTGCTGGAGGGCTCGCTGGCCACTGCGTTGTCTGCTTCCGAGCTTCAAGCTGCAGCAACAACAGAGCTACAACAAAGCTGCGAGACTTTGGCCGCATGCCAGACGCTAGCCGTCCAATACCCCCAGTGGTTAGAGTAGCGGAGTGGATCGTAGCACGAGCCTTTCACGACAACCACTCATGTTTCACGCAAGTTTCTGGCTCGAGCCCTCCAGCGCGAGCCTACGATGCCTGGTCCGTGGATCAATGGGACCGCGGACCCAGATGGATGGGTCTCTACTGTCCTTTCCGAAGGGGACTACGTAGAATTCCAGGCCTATGACTCCAGCCACTGCCGCCAAGGTAACGTGCTCGCTCGCCTAGACAAACTGAATGATCGCACCAAGGACGGCCAATGGGCCGAGGCAACTTTCGTTGCCGTGAGCGACGAGCACCTCCAGTGGTGGCTGGACAAGGGAGACGGCCGGGATGATGCCTGGCAATTCGAGATTCACTTTTGTCGGGGCTCGCAGCGGGCATGCCGGCAAAGCCGTCGTGGACGAGGTCGGGACTTTCACACCGACAGGTTCCGACTCCTGACCTATGGTGATTTAACAGGAAAGAAAGTGGATTGGCTCAAGACGAGCCCATCCAAGAAGTACGTGGAAGAAGAGCTTCAGAGACTTGCTGCGCTCCCCACGGGGAAGGCCAAGGAAGGCGATGAAGCAATGGGTGCAGGGCTTGGTTTTGGAGAGGCCCACCTTCCTCAACCTGATCCCTCAGAGGGAGACGAGGCCTTGAAGGGGCTTGCGGACCTCGAGAAAGAGATTTGCCAGGGGAGGACTGGCCGAAAGAAGGTGGCAGACAAGCCCAAGGGCTTACCCCCCAAGGGGGAGGCTGCCGACAGAGATGATGCCGAGGTCAAAAAGAAGAAAAAGAAGAAGAGGAAGAGGGCCGAAGGCGCAACCGCCCACGGGCGAGCTCAAAGCGCCCCCGCCCAAGAGCAGGACACCGCCAGTCGCAACGAACTGGATGCGTGCGGTGATGATGCCAAAGCAGCCGGTGATGAGGCTGGCCCGCGAGATGCGATGGCGCTCGACGAGATCGCAGCCGGACGCTACCAGTACGCGGCCGACGTCATAGCCCAACGCTTGAAGGCCCTCGAGCTCTTTCAGAACGACGGGTCGTGGAACCGCGCCCAGTACTTGGAGCTCTTGGACGCGGAGGGGCCGAGCCTGCTAGGTCGGGACGAGGCGGTGATGGCCTCAAAGGAATGGGCAGGAGAGTTAAGGATGAGGAAACTTCAGTCGAAAGGAGGCGGCAAGACAGAGCCGCGAGGAGACCCGAAAGGCCCAGCGAAGGGGGATCCAAAAGGAGGGAAGGACCCCAAGAAAGGGAAGCCGGGCAAGGGCAAGGAGACCGCCCCCCACGTCCTGAGGTGCCGGCCACGGCCGAGGTAAAGACCGAGACCCGATCCGAACCAGGATCATCCACGGCCTTTTTGGGGCCCCTGGCCGAGGAACTGTGCCAAGGGATGGTGCTCGACGACATCCTTGACTTTGACCTCGGCGATCTGGGGGATAGTGATGATGAGGGTCTCCCCACGGGGAAGAACTTGAGTTCCCATTGGGCCAAGCTGGGACAGGCCCTTCCGATGGAGGAATGGCGAAAGAAGATGAAGGCGGCGCTGGACCGAGAGCCGGCGGTGAGGTCAGTTGGGAAGCTTCTTTTTGATGCTGCCATGTCGCTAAAGACGGCACTTCCAGCTCCCGTCCCGCGCGGCATGGCGCCTCCTCCCGATCCACCCAGGTCTTGTGGTCGAGGGGCTGGAGGGCATCACGACCGCAAACCTCCACTGGGTTCGTTTTATAATTTTGTGCCTTGACTTCGTCTACTGCGCCGGCTGGTCCAAAGCTGTTCGTGTCCCCATGGCCGGGGCCCTCTATCAGAACCAGAGGGTGGCGATCAAGAGGGTGGCCTCCCAGGTGGACCGCCTGATTGCCCGGTCGGAGCGGATGCTGTCGTGCAGCCAGGCTCTCAAAAAGCTCAAGTCAAAGACCTTCGACTACAACGGGCACCCGGTTGACCACATGCAAGACCTTAGCTTCTCAAAGGTCATCAAAGCCTGGCCTCGCCAGGGCACGGCGGCCGTTGTTGACCTCAAGGACTGCCTTTCTCGATGACCTCCGGGAGGCCCTTGACCACCCTGAGGACTACCTTCTTCCTGAAGCCGAGCTTCCGGAGCGTCATCGGGGATCACGGGTGCGCGCAACTGAGGAAGAGTGGTTTAAGATTGTGAAATCCGGTTAGTCAATGATTCTGATGTTCCCGTTGATAAGCGGGGGCACCTGATCACAAATGGTGCAGGGGGCGTGCCAAAGGTCAAGCATGAGGGTGGGCAGGTGGTTGAAGCACAGCGCTTCATATCAATCCTGTGCCCCACCAACGATGCCATGCGCCGCTTGCCTGGGGCCCAGGATCACCTGCCCTACATCGGCCAGCTCACGGCGATCTTGGCCGAGAAGGACTCGTATCTGGTGCTGGACTCGGAGGACCTCCAGTCGGCGTTCAATCTCTTCCGGATGCCTCTCCAATGGGCACCCTTCTTCAGCTTTGCCCAAAAAGTCCGGGGAGACGCCCTTGGTGGGTCGCGGCATGAAAAACTGCGGCCGGCCCTCCGTGTTGTGCCGATGGGGTGGACCTCGGCGGTGACGTTGGTCCAGGCTGCCATAAGGCACATAGCTTACAAAATCGCGAAGATTCCTCCCCACGGGGATGTTACCATGGACCAGCCCCTTCCCTCGACCTCCTCGATGACGGTTCTCTACCTGGACAACTTCGATGAAATTCGCCACTTGAAGAAGGAGATAGCGAACGAGGAGTCGGGGCGACCCTCACCGAACCATGTGAAGTTCATCGAGGCTTGCGAGGGCCTCGGTCTTCCCCGCAATCAGGCCAAGCAGCTCTCTGGGGCTCTCAGCGGCACCCTCCAAGGAGGAGAGATACTGGGAGAGGATAGGATTATCCGGCACGCTTACGAGAAGACGATTGAGCTTATGAGCCTGGGCCTCGACATGCTTAGCCAGCAGACTCTGCCTGAGCACGGGCTAAGGCATTGGGCCGGGAAGGCTGCTTTCGCAGCGGCGTTTAGGCGCCCTCTGTACTCGGTGCTCCAGGAGGTCTACGGAGCACTTGAGGTTCCCCGGGGGGGAGCGGACCTCACTCTCCCCCTGCCGGTGATAGACGAGGTTTTGCTCGGCCTTCTCCCACTTGCCGAAACGGACCTGTCGGGGAGATAAGCTGCGCCGATGCATCCCCGACCGGTGGCGGGAGCTCCGTGGCAACCTCCTTCAAGGACAAGGCCCTTATCCTCTCGGACCCGATCGAGGATCTCAACTTCTGCGGCAACTGCCACAAGGAGCTCTCCGAGCCTGTGCCACGGACCTTCAAGTGCACCAGGCGGTGCGGCCTGAGAATGTGCACCCTTCGGTGCGCTAGAGCCCACCAGGAGACCTGCACAAGGAAGTGGTGGCACTCGCCGAGCTTTGGGGAAAGATTTTCTGGGAAGGGCTACCCACTCTCAAAGGCAATGGGGCTGAAGGGCATCGCGACGCAAACCGCCCTCGACTATGACGTCCCAGGTGACCAGTGGGACGTCAGGACCGATGAAGGAAAGGAGCGCCTGGAGGAGGCCGAGCTCGAAGGTGACCTCATGTGGTCACATTGGTCACCAACTAGGGTGAGCTTCTCGAAGTGGCGAGGCGAGGGCATCACCATGGGCGCTGGGACCACGGCCTTCCTCGCCTTCGGTGCCGTGATCATCCTGAAGGCCTCCCTCGCCTGCGACAGCATGAGAATGTCACCGTGAGGCAGGCCAATGCCATTGCAAAGCGCGCATTGAGAGGCCTAGTTGAGGCCAAGCGTCGGGGACGTTTCGCCTCGATGGAGCATCCCTACGACTCCTTTCTTTGGGACCTGCCAGAGGTCAAAGCTCTCTACGGAGAAGGTTGGCACTGGAGTCACTGGAGTGTGTTTTCCTGCTGCTGCTTTGGTGGGACATGCTGCACAACTCAGCATCGGTCCATGCCGTCCTCAATCAGCCGGTTTGCACCTGTGCCCAGAAGCAAGTGGGGTTTGAGGAAGACGAGGGTGAAGGCGAGGAGGACCCTTGGCACTTTTGTGTCACGATGGCAGAAGGGGTGTACGACGAGCTCACGTCGTTGTACACGGAGCCCTTCGGGGCTCGCCCCCTGTCCCTTGATGGCCTCATCAAGCATCAGCTGCAGGGTGCCACTCGAGGCCTCCAGCAGCAAGCCGCTGTTGACTGGGCGGTCCACCAGTGCCTCACCTTTCTGGAGACGATGGACGCCGGCCAGGAGCGGGAGCACCTTGCGTGGTTGCTCCGCCACACGTACCACACAGGGTGCGATGTCAGGCTGACGGATAGAGGAGGTGACGTGACAGGGAACCGCCCTGGGCCTTACCCGGCCTTCCGTTGGCACTGGCGTGACGTTCTGTCGTACCGCTGGAAAGAAGAGCAACACATTAACGTGCTGGAGATGACGGCCTTCCTCACGGAGCTGAGGCCGGGCGCGCAATGCAAACGAACTTGGGAAGAGGTTCTTTTGCATTATCGACTCCCTCGTCTCCTTCTATGTGCTCGGCAAAGGGAGGTCTTCTTCGAAGAGATTGAACAGAGTGAGCCGCCGCATTGCCAGTGTTTCGTTGATGTCTGGATTGATCCCCGTGAGCCTGTCGACGATCAGCAAGTGGAACTTTTCTGATGGTGCGTCGCGGAAGTACGAGCCGCAATGACCACCTTCGGTTCCTGGGGATCACTCCAAAAACCAGACGCTCCTACGAAACGGCTGTGGCGGCCTTCTTTACTTATATTCGCGCCCTACGGGGCAGGCTTCCTGCAACCATGCACGCCCTCGATGATGAATTGTCTGAATACATTAATCATCTTTATCAAGAGGGAGATCCGCTGACTCTGGCGGGCTGGATGGTGAGCGGGTTGAAGCACTTTTACCCCCGCTGCCGGCCACACCTCCTCACCTCACAGGTGTTTCTTCGAAACTGGCAAAGAGTGCATCTTCCCAAACGCACTACGCCGATGACCTGGCTCGGGGCAAAGGCCATGGCGGCAGCTGCTCTTCAAGTGGGCCGCCCCGACCTTTCGTTGATCATTTTTTTGGGGTTCTCGTTCTTTCTTCGTACAATGGAGCTCCTCTCCTTGCAGTCTTCCCACGTGAGACTTTTCCTGAAGAGGGCACGGTGATCATTGCCATCGTCTCTTCGAAGACTTCCAGGGGCCTCCAACAATCTTTATCTCTTCGCGAACCCAGCCTGGTTGCAGTTCTCCAATTCCTTTTTGACCGGGCACGCCCGAGTGGTCTCCTTTATTAGCATTCTGTGGCCGCCTTTCGTCGGGAATTTTCTTCTTTGGTGAAAGCTATCGGCCTTGAGCCTGGCGATTACCTTCCTTATTCCCTCAGGAGAGGGGGTGCCACTGAATTTTATCAGCGCACTCAGAGCCTCGGCCGTACTATGGTGCAGGGACGGTGGAAGGACTCCCAAACTGCACGTATCTACATCGATGATGCCAGGGCCACGCTGGTGCGCCTGCTTCTGCCCCCTCCCACCACTGCCCTTCAGAGGTCCTTGGCTTCGCTCTGGCGGGTGGCTTCGCCAGCAGGCTGACCCTATTGGGACAGTTGGCTTGGGATGTTGGCGCTTGGAGACATATGCTGTTGCCTGGGGCCCCTCCTACGGGAGAGATCGACCTACGGGTCAGGACACTGGCGCTGTAACTTAGCCTTTTCGGGCGGCATACGTCCGCCCGCGCCAACTTTGATTACCTCCAGCTCCTCCGGAAAAGAGGTGATCTGGTCGTGAAAATCATTTGTCGATTTTCTGCTTGCCCGAGGACCATCTTCAGGAACAGATGCATGGGCTTCAGTCCGAGCTTCGTGCGGAAACGGAAGCTGCGAAGCAGCAACTCAACAGTGAGACTGAGCTGAAGGACGGCCAGGGGCTGTTCAACACGTTCAGCTTTCCCGCCCGTCGATATGTTCAATGCTGACACTGCTTTCGAAGCAGGACCTAGCTGAGCGACAACATGCCGAAATCCTGGAGCTGCGACTGCGTGGCAGCTTGGCTGGTATGCAAAGTTGTGCTGGCAGTGGAAGAAGTTACAATTTGTTTTGCCGGAGCTTGCGAAATAAAAGTAGTCAGCATCGTTTAAAGGCGAAGCGAAAGAGAGCTTGGAGGCCGCATTGAAAGAGAAGAAGATGCAAGAAGTGGAGATGAAGCACAGTGCTGCGATTGCCGAAGCAGAGATCGCGGGGGCTCGGAACAGTGCCAAGGCAGAGCCGTTTGCGCCAGGGCCACTGGGGAAAGTGCTATTCTTTGTTCCGGAAGTTTCGCATCGACGGGAACACGATCATTTTCAATCTTTCCTGTGCAATGTGTAGAGGCGCAGCAGAAGCTCGTGGGCGAGCTCAGGAACTGCCTTCGGGACACGGAGGCAGAATCGGCGAAGGCTTTGGCGAAGTTTAAGGACACGATGCTTAGCTGCTGCTTTGGGATGTGTCGGTTCTTGTTCTTGCGTCCCAACTCCGAAGGAGCAACAGGATCGGCACGAGCAGCGCCAGAAAGAAGCCGAAGATCGTCTGGCGACAGCCCAGACGGAGCTGGTCTCTGCGGGTCAGCGTGTGGAAGACCTGGAGCAGCTGGCGGTGGAACAAAAGAATCGCCCCTGGCCCAGTTGCAGTCGTGTGCTATCGTGTGCTCGAGGCTCGTAGCTGGAGTGACTACTGAAACTGCTGAGGCTTATCCAGTTTGGAAGGTGATTTGGCAAAAGCCCGCTGCCAGGAGAAGGTGCTCCAAGAAGCTGCGGAGGATCTGAGGTCAGATATCTCCAAGAGAGAAGGAGCACTATTGGATTCCCTGGCAAGCTCCGAAGTGCATCAAGCCAGCGAGGCTGCACTTCGAAAAGCTCTGCATACCCAAGAAAAAATCCTGGCAGATGAGAGGGTGGAGCGTGATGCGACCCTGAGAGAGCTGGCCGAGCGTGCGGCTCAAGTTGAAGAGCTGCAGCAAAGCCTTGCAGAGCTGCAGGCAGGTCGGCAGAAGTTGGAGCTACGCCTGCGACAGACCCAGACCAGTACAGATGCCAAGCTTCGGGATGCGGCTTCGATTGAAGCATCGCTTCGAGAGAAGCTCCAGGACGCTTTCCTGAAGATGAAAGTGGAGCCTGGCAAAGTCAAGCCCGCTCAGGCAGCTACAGTAGGAAGTCTCGGTTCTTTTTACCTGGGCCAGTCCTTGTCCTGCTTTTGTTTGGCTTTGCGTGTTGTACCCGACGAGTCAGCCAAGGACGTTTGGAGCAAGCTGGCTACAAAGGCAGACGCGGGATTGAACCCAGAGGGGCTCTCAGATCCTCTGTACAGCGTCTTCGAGCAGAAGGACGGGCTCCATGCGCATCTCATTCTACGTGCACCGATGTCCGGCTTTCGTCAGGCGTCGAAGATACACAGAAAGGTTGCGGCAGCCATGCGGCGTGCTGGAGATGCGCACCACGCAGCCCTCGATCTGGAAATGTCGAGAGCATCCCAGTGCAGTGCTCAGCCGCATCTGCCTGCATCTGCTTTCCTCTGTCCTCTCGCTGCCGAGGCTTTCTGGTGACGGTCAGGTCGGGCACGCAGCGACGTAGGGCATCAGTTTCCTCCAGTCGAACGGATCGTCGCCCTAGGCCATGCACTCTTTGCTCCTCCGCTCTGCTGCTAGACGAGATCGTGCCTCTCTGGCAAGCATCGGCAAGCATCAACGCGCAGCCGAGAGCCCTCTCCAGCACCTGCAAGCTTGTGACATCTTTGGACCAAGCGTTCAGCTTTCCAAGTGTGAAAGTTGGTGTCCGATCGCAGTGTCCAGCGACTGCAACAGGGATCGCTGTTGGCTGTAAGACGTTGAGACTTTCGGTGCTGGTGCAGAGGTGGTCGTGGAAACATTGACAGCGATTCGCGTTGCTGCAGGCCTTGCGCAAGAACTGCAAGAGATGCTCGCCCAAGTGCAGAGCACGCTGCCGTTGAAGTGCGCCGAAGGAACGGATGCAGGCACTTGGAGCTTGGAGTAAAGGTCAGTAATTAGTCAGTTTGTTCTTCTCATGGCACTCGCTTGTTTGATTCGGCCGGAACCTGGCTAGGCTCTGATGAAGAGGAGCTGCTTGGCCAACTCGAAGTCGTAGGCTTGCATTCTTGCTTTCTCTGACATTGACTGTCGAGGCTGGCAGCTGAGCGCCTAGAGCTGGATGCGCAGCTGATCTCGCAAGAGCTGCCGCTGCTCACCTCAAGCCCGCTGCAGGGCATCCCACAACCGGTCCTCAAGGCCTGGTGAACAATTGCTCTGTGTTTGCAAATTTGCAAACCTTTAGTCTCGCCTTGTGCTTGTCGGGAAGTCTGGGGCCGCAGCCATTTTGCCAGACCGCTGTACCCTTTCCTATCAGAGACGACGGCCCAATCTCCGGTTGGCTTGTGGCCCTTGAGGTGAGGTTTGAAGGTCTGGTGACACCGATTCACCAAACAAGATTGCAGACACGGATTTTGAATTCTTCGTTGGTGACTATCCCATCCCAGGTTGCTGGTCAAAGGCTCAGTGCTTGGGGAATAGGGTTGTGAACTTTAGATTCTGTCCACATAAAACCAAAGTCAAGCATGTTGTTGCACATGTGGGGATTACTGCGCCTACTTTGTTGCTTCTCGTTCCGAGCAGGGGGGGTGGGGAGCACGGGGGGGTGGGGGGGAGGCGGGGGGGAGGGGTGGGCGTGCTGACGTGCTGTGTTTCAATGTGCACTATGACGCACTTAGGCGGGAAGCAGTAATTAGATTGAAAACAATACTGGCGAAGATAGCGCCTGATTGTCTAGCCTGCGATTTCGCGACCTTGCATAGCGAGACTCTTGATGATGGCAGAGATGCCGAAAGTACCGCGCCTAACGGAGGAGTGAGAATCTACTTAAGCAAGCCCGTCGTGTGACATGCCAAGTCACTTCACATGTCGAAGCAAGGGGAGAGCACTCACCAAGTTGCATTCGTATCCCAACAACACCAACTGGAAATCCGGCAATGTGCGGTCCAAAGTGCGTCGGGTTGAATCGTGACAGGTTCACTGTCGCTGTACTTGCCGAAAATTCCATCAGCAAGTCCCCTGGTCGCTCCGCTGTTTGAAAATTAATCCAGGAAGTACCCCTGCCAAGAATTTCGGTGTTGTTGAGGCGGCTGCGCAGGCCGGTTTTCCCACTCTTCCTTGTACACTCTCGGCCATACAGCTGAGCTTGACTTTTATAAGCTTTTGTCGTGAAGTTGTCATTGAAAATGTGGTTGAGGGGTTGTTACGGCCGGATGGATATCGGTCTAAGCAGGCGAGAGCTAGTTATGCACTGAAGTGGCTGCCACGGCCAGATGATCAACTGCCCACGTCTGTCCTTGTGTTGAATTGCTGAAGGACGTCTATCCGAAAATCGTTTGCTCCTGCGGATGCTGCAATGCTTGACTTCTAGTGACTGTAGTGTAGCCGTGAGGGGCCTTTCTCTTTCTGCCATGCCAGGCCATGGCAGGGCTCTGTGGCGTGGACGTGGCACCGGACACGGACCATCTGGACCTGGATCTGGATGGACGCTTTCCCATGCACTGGGCAGCACGCCAGGGCAGGCCTAGTCCTAGTCTCAAAGCCCTGCTTGCCGTAGCTTTAGACGATTTTTCCAGTCAGATGCCGCAGTGAAGGCGAGATGTCATCGAGTTCCTATTTCGCTACATCTCTATGGACGACGGGTTGAACCAGCGCGACCCCGACGGACGGACACCACTCTTCTATGCCGAGCGCGCTGGAAATGCTTCTTGATGGCAATCTTGCAGCCGAGAGCCTACAACACTTCACCTCGGTTGAAATGATATGGTTGTGATGATGTTGGTTCGGAGTATGATGATGGCCATGTTGCCCTGGAGGATTCGCTGGCATTGTTTCTGCGAGAGAACGGCAGCGATGCCAATCCACAGGAGAAGCTGGATGCCGCAATTCTCCCTAGCCCTAGCTTTCCCTGCATGGTCTCGCATTTCCAGGAGCCGGTTCGCAGAAGACCTGCCACGAGCACCATTCCGGATGCCTTCACCGCGGCGCAGTCGCAACTGGCAAAGTTTCGGTTCATCTTGAGCGTAGTGGCATTGCATGGCGTTGGCTGAGGATGTGATCAAAGTGGTCGAAGAAAGAGGCACTCAAAAGCGCAGGCTAGCGCCTCCCTGTGAATGCTTTCAAGTCGAAGGCTGGCATGCGGTGAACTGGATGGAGGGCTTCACTATGCTTCATTGGGCCGCAGAGAAGGGCCATTCTGATTTCTGCAGGCACAGTCCGGTTGATTCCGGCTGTCAGCGAGACTCCCTGCTGTGAAGTCGCAGCGTTGAGGTACTTTGTGGATCTGAATGCAGACCTGAACGCTGTCGACAGCCGAGGGCTGCCTGGTGGCACAGCCCATGGATTGCGGTGCCAGTAGACACTTGGACCTTGCGGAGCTGCAGGCGCACAGCTCTTCAGTGTGCTATGGACGCCAAGAACGCAGAAGTTGAGTTGGTGCTGCGAGAGCTCATGGGCCTGCCTCAACGGCGTCTTGTCTCAAGAGCTCTTTTGAACGTGCCATTGCTTGACAGAGCCTGGCGGCCCTGTGCTCAGGACGGAGGAGCCCGGAGGCAGCGAGGAGCTTGCGCTTGTCAGCCCGTGAATGCTGATGGGGTACCAGTGCGATGCAATCTGGCTCCGAACTCTTGTGTAGCCAAACGTTTGCAGGAGCCACCGGAAATGCATGAAGTTATGTGCGGGGCTCAATGTCGGCAACGCTGCTGAGATGCGGCAAGTCCAGGAGTTGCAAGACATCTGCAGCACAGGCGATGTGGGAATAGCAGCAATAACGAAAGCTTTTGAGGCTCAGTGCACTCTCCAAGCATAGCGGTGCCTCACTCACCTCATTCACTTCAATCACCTCACTCACTCACCTCACTCACCTCAGCATTTTCTGCATATTGGCATGTCCAGCTTCTCTCAGGTCAGTCGCGGCTTCTAACCAGCAACATCTCGGGATTCCTGCTGCGTATGTTCGTCGCTTGTCCATACTTGGTCGAATGCCCGCCCAAAAGCCGTTCGCAGGGCCGAGCTGCCAAGGTGTCATGCAGCAGATCGACTTGATAGGCTGGGAGAAGATGCAGTGGGCTCGCGGCTTTACGCTTCTGCATTGGGCTGCGAAGCACGCCCTTCAACTGCGCCTGAGACATCCTTTTTGACCGCCTCCTGCAGCCATTAGAAGGACATGCCGATGTGAAAGCCAAGGACAGAGCAGATCTATGCGAATCTTGGACATGCTCCGTGCAGAAGATGTAAGGGCATAGGATGGCATAGGTTTCAATTCACAGAGTCGGTGAAGTTTGACTCGCGCTCAGGAACTTTTCTTGTGGCACGGAGCTGACCCAGAGCACAGAGATGCATCAGGACACTCTGCCGTCGACTATGCGCGACTACGGCAGCCTCAAGCTTCAGCCGTCCTGGACACTTTGCTTCGTGGTTGCCGGGCAAGCACGGTTCGGACATGTGGATGCCTAAAGATTGAGTGTATAGACGGAGCATGGCGAAGATTGTAATCGTATACGCGCGCAGTCTGCGCTGGGCGGCTGCTCTGCTAAATCCGCTTGCCTGCAGCGGAGGTAGGCCGTCGATGAAGCCTATGGTTGGCTGAGCCACGAGGGCCTGCGCAATTTGCAGGGCTTGGTGCGTGTACGTGTTGTGTAAATTCGGGGGATCACCGCCGCACATGCTCTTTCCAAGCACATCCATCCGTGATGATTGAGGCTGCTGCAGAGAGCTCTGCAGCAGTCTCTTCCGGGGTGTTGAGAAGCGGCGTGTTGTGTACATGTTGATGCAAGCTGCGCACCGGAACCAGCACTTTTGCAGTGCCAAAGATGAAGTTCCCGGGGCCTAGCCTGAAATGCGTGGGTCGGCTCCACCACTACAGTGGTCCGACCGTTGGTTGCCCGATCACACCAGATCCACTGCTGCGGACGAGTTGTTAGTGCACAAAGCATCACGATTTGGAGAATCCCTTGCGTAAATGCGGGCTGCCTGCAGACATGACGAGGTAGAAGCCATGTTTTGCCATCCGCCGTGTCATTCCTGGCGCACTCGCCTAGATGCCGATGCTTGCACTAGGGTCTACATGCCCAAGCCTCTTGGATCGGTGTGGGGGCCATGAGGGCAATGTACTTCCTTGGCGCTTAGTAATTCGACGCCACGCTGGTTTTGCACGTGAGAAAAAAGTTCGTCAGGCTCGAGCCCTGCAGAGTTGTGCATCGTCTGAAGGCCGGTAACTGCATCAGGTCCCGTCTCCGGGATTCCATTGCAGATGATGAGATCTACCCAGACAGCAACTTGCGAGGTGTGCCGGGCCCAGATTCCGCCGGTGTGTCCCTAAACTTGCGGTAAGTTTCCGGCGTTCTGCGATGTCCGCATGCAAACTCTTAGGGCTGTGCCCGTGCGACGGAGGACAGCTCGGCTGGGTCAAAATCCTGGAAGATCTGGAAGTGCAGTTCCTCTCAGAGCCCTTCAGCTTGGAAGGCCCACGTCGTGACGAGAAGGAATAAACACACCACAGCTTGCTGAGTTTGTCATCATTGTGCTCGACAGTCGGCCGAATTTGTTTAGCGATCCGCTCCGAACGCTGGGCCTCCGATAACTTCTTGCAGTTTCTACATGTGCGGGCCCTTTCGGGATTCTGGAGTGCAGCGGGGGGGCCATTCCAAAGCTCCTTGTAATTCTGTTGCTCCGGTCGCAGTACCGGAGGCACCGGCTCGAGAGCTTCGTCGCATTGAGCCGGCCGACGAACCCAAGGCAGACCTGAGGCTCGCGACTCTGGACCACACATCCATGTGTTCGCAGCCCACGGCTCAGGCTTTCCTGGAGATCGGAGATGCCCGTGTGAGTTGGGCCCGTTGGGCTCGCATCTCTTCACGAGCGACTGAGTCGACTTCTGTGCCCCTGAGGGCCTAGATGTTTGGAGACCTGCGCGGAGAGAAAGGATGAAAGCATATCCTTGTCATTGATGCTTTTGGCTTGGACCAGATTCGAAGCGTCCAGACAGTATCCACTGTGGTATGAGGTGGCGCCGACCACCGACATGAGCCAGCTGTCCCCGATGATGCGCAGAGTCTACAGGCTTTTGCACCGGCTTGCCTCACAGACTGAGTTGAGAGACGGGATGCTCCGCTTTGCAGGCCTGTGGCAAACTGGGCACAGGCCATGAGTCCAGGCTGTTGCGGCTGTTCGGGCCCCGCTGTGGCACAGGTATTGGAGCAGCTCCGTTTGAAGCCTCCCCTCGGTCTTCATCAGCTGCTTCCTCAAACGCATTCATATAGCAAAGCCAAGCAGAGACACGGAGTGCCTGTGTATGCCTGCATGCGAGGTTGGTGCACAAATTGACGCCCCCGTCACCCAGGCCCGGCAGTGACTGGCACGCGATAATTTCCTTTGCATGGTCATGTCATGTCGAGGACAAAGCCACAGCCTGCGCCCAGAGCCGCGGCCTGATGCGGCCTCCAAGACATGGAAACATGATGAACCATGCGAGTGAACCGTGGGGTGAACCAAACGAAAGGTGAGCGAGCGACCTCCGGGTCCTTGGGAGCGGGCACGCGCTGCACATTGCCACATTGCCTGGCCCGGCACTTTCTGCCGGCGTTGCGCATGATGCAGGTGCAGCAAGGAGCCACGCTTGCTTCAACACAACCAGCGTTCTGGGCCAAGCATTTGCAATCGCGTTTGTCCTCGTGCTGTGGGTTCTCCCAAGCATTGGTTCGCAAGGCTAATGTTGCCTAGCCTAATTCTTCCCTGAAGGCCTGCGCTGCAGTGGTCCAGTGCGGGGCGGCCAAAATTGGTCTGGAAGCTCAGGAATGAGTCGACCCCGGCTGGCCTTCATCACGGAGAGTATCGTGTGTAGGTCTTGAAGCCTCGTGATCCTCAACTGGGCCCGGTCGTGCCGGAGGCACCTGCCACAGAATCTGACTTTGAACCAAACGCACGGGTTACTCGGCAGGTTGCTCCGACGCAGCCACAGCCACAAGCCACAGCCACACCTGCACAGCCTCCAACACAGACCAGGCCTGTGCCTGTACACTTGTCACAGCAGCACATCACCTCATCACCTCAGCAGCCGGCCGTCTCAACAAACAAGCAGTGCCCAGCGCAGCCCCAGCCTTCGCCAGCGGCAGTGCGGCAATCACAGCCCGCCGGGTCTGAACAACGGGCCAGGTCGCCACAAACGGTCGTACCTGGACTGAAGTTGAGTGCACATGGCTGGATGCAAAGCTTGCGAAGCAGAGCGTGCGCCGCGTCTCTCTGCAAGGTTGTCGGTGCAGTCCAAACAGCCGTCCAGCCAGCTTCCCAGCAAAAGGCTTTGTTGCCAGCCGTAACCCCGAAAGATGCGCCAAACAAGCAGACATTGGTAGACTCGACTCAGCTGCAGGAGTGGTGCCGTGTCACCTAGTGGACGGCCGAAGCTGCAACTGAAGCCACGAAATCCAAGGCGGGCAAGCTGAATCAATGGCGCAAGACAGAGCCCCGATGTTTTTGCCAGCTTCCAAGTTGTCTCAGGCTTGCGGCTCCCGGTGAAGACGAAGCGCCTGGGCTTGCAGATTGCCTGCCAGCCTTGCTGCGAAAGCTTCAATTGCCTCTGCACTGGCGCTGATGGCCGATGTGTGCGAGAAGTGTGCGAGAGTGCCGGGTTAGTAATTATAGGACAGAGATATGCATCCGAGCGTTTTGAGGCAGCGGCGAAGTCTTCGTCGGCACCCGCACCGCAGCCGCAGCAGCAGCAGCAGCAGCAGCAGCCGCCGCAACAGCAGCCGCAGCAGCCGCAGCAGCAGCCGCAGCAGCCACCGCTGCAACAGCCACAGCAATTCCAGCAGATGGCACCGCAGCAGCAACAGCAGCCACAGCCGCAGCCCGCATCCCGTCCTCAGCCGCAAACGGTCGTACCTGGACTGAAGTTGAGTGCACATGGCTGGATGCAAAGCTTGCGAAGTAGAGCGCGTGCCGGGTCTCTCTGCAAGGTTGTCGGTGCAGTCCAAACAGCCGTCCAGCCAGCTTCCCAGCAAAAGTAGGCTTTGTTGCCGGCCGTAACCCCGAAAGATGCACCAAACAAGCAGTAGACTCGACTCAGCTGCAGGAGTGGTGCCGTGTCACCTAGTGGACGGCCGAAGCTGCAACTGAAGCCACGAAATCCAAGGCGGGCAAGCTGAATCAATGGCGCAAGACAGAGCCCCGATGTTTTTGCCAGCTTCCAAGTTGTCTCAGGCTTGCGGCTCCCGGCGAAGACGAAGTGCCTGGGCTTGCAGATTGCCTGCCAGCCTTGCTGCGAAAGCTTCAATTGCCTCTGCACTGGCGCTGATGGCCGATGTGTGCGAGAAGTGTGCAAGAGTGCCGGGTTAGTAACTAGGACAGAGATATGCATCCGAGCGTTTTGAGGCAGCGGCGAAGTCTTCGTCGGCACCCGCACCGCAGCCGCAGCAGCAGCAGCAGCAGCCGCCGCAACAGCAGCCGCAGCAGCCGCAGCAGCAGCCGCTGCAACAGCCACAGCAATTCCAGCAGATGGCACCGCAGCAGCAACAGCAGCCACAGCCGCAGCCCGCATCCCGTCCTCAGCCGCAAACGGTCGTACCTGGACTGAAGTTGAGTGCACATGGCTGGATGCAAAGCTTGCGAAGTAGAGCGCGTGCCGGGTCTCTCTGGAAGGTTGTCGGTGCAGTCCAAGCAGCCGTCCAGCCAGCTTCCCAGCAAAAGGCTTTGTTGCCAGCCATAACCCCGAAAGATGCGCCAAACAAGCAGTAGACTCGACTCAGCTGCAGGAGTGGCGCCGTGTCACCTAGTGGACGGCCGAAGCTGCAACTGAAGCCACGAAATCCAAGGCGGGCAAGCTGAATCAATGGCGCAAGACAGAGCCCCGATGTTTTTGCCAGCTTCCAAGTTGTCTCAGGCTTGCGGCTCCCGGCGAAGACGAAGTGCCTGGGCTTGCAGATTGCCTGCCAGCCTTGCTTCGAAAGCGGTAAATTCAGTCAGCTAAATTGGTGGGCCATGGAAGGGGAGCCAAAACCTGTGATATGTTTTTGCCAAGAACGGCAGGCAGAGTGCTGCCAGGGTGAACGGGAGGGTTGACGGTGGGAAGCACAGCTGTCATATCTACCGTGGCCTGCTGGCCTCAGCACCTCTGCAACACTCCTGACTCAAACCTTTGCATCCTCAACCCTGAATCGAGAGTGAGCGCCGACCGAGGTGTCGCAGCCTTCTGCCGTGCCAGTGCAACGGCAGCCCATTCAGCCCCAAGGGCCAGCGCCACAAGCGCAGCCCCAGATGCTTCCACAGCCAGCTCCATCTGCAACTGGCCTTCATTCATTGTTTATATACCTATTGAAATCTATTCATAGCTACGCCGCTGCACATGTGTACACACACACATACACACACACACATATATATATATATATATAATGTAGAAGACTTAAGATGTATCTATATACACATAGCATGACACAGCATCCCGAAGTACAGCATGTTGCTGTTCCCGTAGAACGTTGTCCGTAGTTGCCTCGCAGCTCTGGCGGAGCGGATAGGATTCACATCAACATAAGCAGAAACCCAACATGCCATAACCTAGCGTATCATAAGACAACATAATATGAAGAGCGAGTGCAAAAACAAAAGTAACATGCTTAAATGCAAGTTGACATGAGGCAACACTATGACCAATGCCATTTGATGGGTTGTTATAGAACAGAACACAGCAGCCACAAATACTAAAGAGATATGATGTGATATCGCACGGTCTGATACGACATGACCTAGTAGACCTACAGAAGAGGAGGCTGTTGGGCCTGCGTTGTGGCAACCCACTATTTTCAGTGTTTTTTTATGTTTCGAATGGTTGTGCGTGGGTTTCTGTGTCAGTTGGTCGCTCGTTTGGTGCGCATGCGTGCGCGTTTTTGTTTCCAGCTACAACATCAACTCTGAATTGTTTCAACTCCCGCGGTCTGTTTACAAACAAAGGGTTTGTTTATAAACACTGCGTTTCGGTATACCGTGCTTTCAGCGTTTTGAGTTTGTTGGATTTGCTCGTTGTCCATTATATGATCTACTATAGTTAACTCTTGTCTTCTTGTCTTATACGTGCTGCTGGTTGTATGTTTCTTCGTATTCATTCATATATGCCGTGATGTCGCGGGGAAGCGGTGGAGGGGGGGTGGGCAGAAGTCTTGGTTTGATGTTCGACAACCCTCCCCCCCCCTCCCCCACCCTCACCCCAGCAGCACCAGCACCGCGCCATTGACTCCAACCAACAAATTCACAAACCTCACCGTACTGCAAATCTTGCACACTGACACTTGGGTACGTTAACTGAAGACCTTGTCTGATTGAGAAAACAATGAAATCACTGATATTTCCAGTGTTTCTGCGTATGGGAAGTACAATGTTATGTGGTCGGTTGTTTATAAACACCTGGCCTTGTTCATAAACAGAAGAGTTGTCCATAAACACAGGGTTTACTTCTGTGGAATATGGTGAATATATGCGTATGCTGGTCTTCCCGTGTAAAAACAAGTGTTGTTGCAACATAGCTCAGAGGTCCAATCTTTGCCACCTTTATAACCTTAGAGGACCGGAGGTATACGAAGGGATTGATTGGATATCAAACCAAAAAATTTCTGGTACAGATACTTGTGGACATGAAGGCCATGCAAGATCATGCAAAGGCCTGGACCACAAGGGTTCGTAAAGCTTCCCCGAGGGAGGCGTCAGCGGCAGCGGCTCCATACAACCAGATGTCCGGATCTAGAACTCATATTGATCCAGATGCTCGCTATTTTGGATTGTAGGCTGTGGGTAACCAAAGCGAAAGTACCTATAGCAGCCAGCAGGATATGAACATGCGCAAACAGGATTTGAGTCATCTTCGACAAGTAGCAGACTTATTAACCACAGGCAGCTTTTCGTTATTCCTTGGCTCCTGGACTCCTTGACAGTCATAACACATGCTATTGCATATAACATTGATCCCAACCATATTTGTTGACATGTAGTAATAGATTCAAAGCACTGACCTAAACACTTGTTTGGATGCCTGTGCACTTTGCCAAATAAGTACGCTAATTCAATGCGTACAGGTTCTCCAACAACCGAACATTGCATGCCAAAGCAGATGATGCGTTGAGTTCTGGTGTTGGGTAGATTGGCTTGATAGGATGAAGAGTATTGCAGGGATAAGATATACGGCTCCGAGAGGGACATGTCGAGTCTATGTGGCTTACCCCAAAACTTGGTTTGATAAAGTACAGAATACACCGTAAATCATATGTAGTATATAGTATATAACATAAAATACACAGTACATAGTCTATGGCCTATAGTCTTTAGTGTATAGCTCGCAGTATCGAGTATGTTGTATATAGTATATAGAACAAGCTGGTAGTAGGCCGTATATAGTAGCGCATAGTGCAATATGTGTGGTATACCGTGTGTAGCGTCTAGTTCGTAGCGTCTAGTGTGAATTCTAGCATCGTGTATAGTGGACTATAGTGTATGGTGTGTAGTGTGTAGTGCATAGTACTGTAGGTTCTGCAGATATCGCAGTGCAGTTTGGGCTAGTTGGGTACAGCCTGGTAAGTATCACAATCTAAATCGCATTCCCACAGTGAGCACTCTTGCCGTGTCCAATTCGCAACGAAATCGTGTTCGAGTCGACGCTTGGTGTTTACAAGCGGCTTCAGAAGCCATAACCAGATAGGTGCGGACTCAAGCAGTAGTACGTTTTACAGCAAGCAGTCATAGACGGACGCCAAGGGCCCTGCTCTACAGCCAGATCCTGCTGGCGGCCGGCCGAGGCCTCCCTTGCACCAGTAGGTCCGATGTCGCATTTTAGGGGGAAGGCAGTTGTCTTGCGCCCCTGCATTTTCATAAGGGTTTCGAGTTTGGGAGCCGATTTCTGCTGGTTATGTAGTTGCCAGTGCACACCCTCCGGAAACCCACAAGCATGCATAACATACCATGTGGGCAACTGTTTTCTTGGTGTACCATGACGAAATGTGCAGGGGTGCGAACCAATTGAGCACCTTGTAGGGTCTAGGGCTTGGGCTGTAGGACTGCTCCAGGGGACCCAGTCTTTCTCCGAACGACGAAAGTGAGCGAAGCCAGATGTGCGTCAGGCTGGTCTTGAAGCCTCGCTCCGAGCCCCCGGCGCCGGCGCCTGCTGGTACGGTCTGCGCAGGAGCCCCTGCGTTGCCCCGGATGGGGACTCTTCGTAGAAGTGTCACAGCGGGTGGACTGATACCCAACATGACGGTGTTTGCTGTGGTTCTTGTGGTTCTTATGCACATTAAACTTAGTTCTTCTTCCTGCTGGTTCGAGCCTCGCCGAATTATGGTTTCGCCGAATTTGTTGCGGTGTACCTGTTGCAGATCTGCGCCTTGGACACTATGACACGACGTCTGGCTAAACAACGGCAACACTGCGGTCTCAAAGTCGCAGAGAACGACAAAGAAGAAAGCATTCCGTCCCACAGCACGTAAGGGGTTGGAAGCATCACACTCTACTTTGACTGGTGGAACTGTTCGGCGAGACACTGACCATGCGATGCTTGATTGACGCCGCTTGGTATTTTGAGTTGCTCACGTCTGCACGAGGTGGTCGGCTCCATTCATTCGAGATGTGCCCAGGTGGCTGCTTCCCAGGTGTCGTCTCCGGTTCGAAGATCATCGTTGGCCTAGTTCTCAGCAGCACAGCTTTGCATCAAGACCCATGGCAGACTGCTCAAAGAGCCGCCGCAACAACACAGGTGTGTCTGATCCGGCACAAAATCCTCATCCTCAGGTTGAGCCGAAAGCATTCATGACAGTCCCAGTGCACCCGAAAACATAACACCTACGTTGGACACTGTACTGCTTTGAAGCATCGGCAGCTTCGGAGTACGAGCTTCGCACCGGCACAGGCACCCTAATTGGCTTCAGCATGTAGTAGGGCGAAGCCTTGCCATGGAGAAGAGCCCGGAGGAGTCTGGCAAGTCCGACGATCCCACTCAGCTGATTCTTCGGCGCAAGGGCTTGCGAGAGTTGCAGGTCGTGCATTTCCCACATCGGACTTTTTTGCGCATCGTGTCCCTTTCCCACAATGCGCTGGAAGATCTGGGTCCGATTTCAATGCTTCAGTCCCTGGAGGAACTGAATGTCAACCACAATCGATTGAGTGACCTCAGCCCCGTGGCTTCTTGCTCCATGCTCCAGGTTCTTTTGGCCGCGAATAACAGGGTGACCACAGTAGGGGGGCTCGAAAGTCTGCCTCGGTTGAGAAGAGTGTCTTTGTACAGCAACCTACTTCCGGACTTGGATGCCTTGATCGAGAATTTGACAGCATTTTCGCAGTTGACCTCGCTCGACCTTGGTGGAAATCCATGTTTCCAAGATATTGCTCACAGGCATGGAGTTGTGCGCGCCCTGCCTGGCCTGAAAGAGTTGGATGGTGATGCGCTTGCCAATGTCGACCGCCAGCTGGCCGCAGAGTTCTTCGCTTGCGCAGAAGAGGTGGGCCTGGAAAGGCGCCCAGGGAGTTCATACGGTCTACGGCCCAAAACGGCTCCCAACGTCGAAGGCCGGTCACAGGCGGATGCGTCGCCGCAGGCTCAGGTTCAGGCTGACGCCCGCACCGGGTCCAGCTCTAGAAGGCTTAGGTCTGCGAGGTCTCGCAGCAGCTCCCGGCCGCGATCCGGTTCGCCAGACGTGGGTTTCGAGTCGCCGGCACCGACGACCTCTGAGAACCCACAGGAGGACCTAGAAAAGTTTCAAGAGTACACCAGAGCTTTACAGCTCCGTTTGCAGACAACGCAAGTTGAATGCGAGAACCTCCAGAAGCAAATTCACGGTATCCGACAAGAAGCTGAAGAGCCGATTTTGGGAACAGCCGCGCTGCGAGACCGACTGAAAGAATTAGAGGAAGCCAACCAGGCGATGCATGACACCGCTGCGAAGAGCAGACAGATGCGCGCAACATTGGAGGCGCGGGAGGCCGAACTGTTGCGCAGAAAACAGGCGCTTGGCAGTGTCGGACAAGAGCGTCCCGGAACAGGCCGGACATCAGCCAGGCCTGGCACAGCCCAAGCAGCGGTTGAAACCATGCTGATTGCTTCTCAGCCGGTAACACTGGAGGGCTACAAGGCACGCTGCAGCGCCCTGAAGCGCGAGGTGGAGTTTGAACGTGAGCGCACCCTGCAGCTACGGGCCAAGCTTTGCTCCGAGATATTGGGCAGAGAGATCAGCCCGCCTCCGAGTAGAGGGACCTAAAGCTTGACGCGGGCCCCGGCTGGATGTACAGTGCGCCAGTTGAAATTGCCACGTAGCGAGCCGTCGGTGACCCGTCGTGCCTCCACCAAGCGACTGCGTGCCCAGAAAGCCGGTCGAGGGATTCACAGGTATCGAATCGCATTTGGGCAAAGACCTTGTGGTTCAGGTGGGCCAGCCGTCCGTGTCCAAGCCAGGACCCTTGGCGGCAACGTAGGCCCCTCAGCATTCTCCATCGGGCTGATGTTAAGACCGTAAGGGCATGTGCTCGCAGAAGCTACTGCAAGGTCCCCGGCTCCCGCAGTGCCTGTCATGGCTCATCAGAATCAGGCGCGGTGTCTCGCAAGTCTCATGCTTGGGAGCGGTGGTAGGCGGAAGCTCGGAATAGTGAAGCTGTCAAAAGCAAACCTGCAGGCCGAGATTCCTCAAATGCTCCTGCCCAAGAGAAACGGGGGTCGTCATCCCAGAGCCTGCTTGATCACAACGGAGTCAGGCCTGGGGCTAAGCCGCCATCGCCGAAGAGCGAGGAGGTCGTTTCCCAAACGGCGAACAGAAGCCGCACATCCTCGGACGTGGTGCTGACCTGAGTCCCTGTCGATGTTGCATCCTCTTGTCAACTGGGTCTCGCAAGATTTTCTCGCCCGCAGGGTGCTGCTCCTACTCTGGCTGGGTGTGTGCCCGAGAAATGAGCCGAGTTGAAGCACCGAAGTAGCAGCGAAGTGCCAGCGCACCGAACCCGTGCCCTTCCGGGGGGGGGTCCGCCGGTTGGGGCCCGGCCCGGCCCGGCCCGGCACCCGTTTTGAGGCCTAGTGGGCCGAGTGCAAAAGCAGCTCCAGCGCTCCAGAAGGCCTCCGACGTCCGAACCTCTCCTATCCCGACGTCTGACGTCATCTCTTGGCTTTGTGCACCCCACTTTTGCACAGCTTTTGCACTTTCGCATCCCCCTTTGCTACTTCCGATGCGGCAGGACCCAGGCGGAGGACGTCCAAAGCTCGTCTTGAAGCCTCGTACGGCGCCAGTTCCCCTAGCAGGACCTTAGGATCTGGCTGAACACAGCTCATAGTCAAGGATGTTTATGCAAGAATGCATAGTGACCGTCCTGATTTTCCCAGCCGTTGGCTAGCAACAGAAAAAGTTCGCCTCGAGATGAGGGAAGGCGCGGCCTGTCATGCTTCAGTGCTTCATCTTGAAGTATACTTGAGTAGTCAGCAAAGATACTTGAGTAGTCAGCAAAGATGAAGATAGACAGAGATCCTATATCACGTGATTGGGTCAAGATGCGATCGCAGAACGAAGGGAAGCGGCCCGAACTAAGGAGCCCAGAGCATCCCCCCCTCTCCAACAGCGCGAGGCTCCACTCCCGGTCTTATCTGCGGAGTGTCCGCAAGGAGAGGTGACTCTGCAAGGCCATCGCACCAACGCACCCCTGGGCAGCACTTGGCTCTCAGAGCTATAGCTATGGGAGGTAGTCCAGCGCTTTCAGTCGGCAGATCTCGGTCGCCGTGTGCAACATGAAACACGTCGATACTTGCTTGGTTTCCGAAGTGGTTTCGTAGCATCTGGCAAATCTGTCGGTCAACAGTTGCAAGGATTGTCAACATAAAAGTCTTTCTTTGGGCATGTTCGGACAGAAGTTGTTCCGGACAGTGGCGTTGCCATGGAGCGCCGCATCCCTTGCCGTATGCAGGAATCGCAGGCTCGTCGAAATTGCTTCAACAGCATGAGCTTCGCATGCTTCGTGCATGAATGAGGCATTACTCGCAGTGCAATCCTGCATCGACTTCCACGGGGATACAAGTGGACTCCGAGCTGCACAGCTACTGGGATAAGCATGACGGCAAATCCTTCGAAGAAAGAAGCATCACTGGAGGGCGAATGCCCGCGCTAAGGCTTGGGCTTGGGGGTTGCAGGAATTTTTCCACGTGTTCGATGTGTCGTCCCGACGAGGCGGGTAGCAGAGATTGCCCTGAAACTTGCAGCTTTGAAGCCGGACCTTCTTCTTGTCGATTTGGGCTCCGCGCTGAGTGTGGAGAGCTTGCAGAGTCTGCTGTGAGTGCATGTTTCTTGCCTGACGTTTAGTTTGCCGACAATGCATGTTTCAAGCTTCCAGCACAGCTGGGAAGATATACCGCACCCACTCAGTCTCACACCTCATGCGAGGATTCACTTTCTAGCGGTCTGCGCAAGGTGTAGTTGCTAACACCCGCGCGGACCACCCTCTCATTAGAGTGTGATGAGGCGATGGCTTATAAAAATCGTGCTAAAACCCCGGCAAAAATCAGACAAAATATTCCCAAAACCATTTGACGCTCACTCTCGCCCTCACGCTCATCCTCATCCTCACCCCTTATGCGAGGATTCACTTTCTAGCGGTCTGCGCAAGTTGCAGTTGCTAAAACCCCCGCGGACCGCATACCGCCGCACCTTCGCACTCACACTCGAGGCTTCACTTTCTAGCGGTCTGCACAAGTTGCAGTTGCAAAAAACTCTGCGGACCGTACCCTAGCACTCACCCTCATCCTCATTCTCACCCCGCATGCGAGGCTTGACTTTCTAGCGGTCTGCACGCAAATTGTAGTTGCTAAAACCCCCGCGGACCGCAAACTTTCTAGCGTTCTGCGTAAGTTGTAGCTTCTGCGCATCGACCGGCCGTAGTCGCGAAGCTTTGTGCACTCAACGTGGGACAGCGGCCAAGAGTTCTTCAAAATGAAGCCAAGGTTGTGGCACGGGTCTGTTCGCCAAGCTACTGGGACCCTTGAACATTGTTGGAGTCGATATCTCCGAAGCTCACCTCTGTTTGGCCGATAGGCATATGAAGGCCCATGCACTTCAATCTCCGTCCCTCCGAGTTCAAGCTGACAGCTTGTAGGCTGATCTCGTCAACAGGTCTCAAAGGCAAGCTATTTAGATTGGGTCCCTGAAGCTGGTTCAGCAGCGCCGGACGTGGCTGTGCACAACAACTCCATTGAAGACTACGAGGACCGCATCTTTGCATTCGATTCCGAAAAGATCCCCCAAAAGGACAAAGGGGCAGGCAAGCAAATATGCCAAGCTTCCAAGTTTACAACTATATGTCGTTTAGTGGGTAGTTCAGAACGGGTCTCACAGTGACCAGTCCAAGCTGGAACGTGCACCCGGCACCTGTTGAAGGCGTTGTCCAAGTCCATATACCATGTATAAATTCCGGCATTTCCAAGAAGACTAGACTGGACAATGGCCATCGGGGTGCGGTGTGTTTCACGGCAGGAGGCAGTGAAGGGCCGCTTCTTCAAGCATGTCTACACTTGGCTTGCCCCTGGCGGGCTACTTGATGCCATCTTCACCTGCACATCTCCTGTGCAAGAGTATGCAATGCCTGGCTGAGGTATTTTCTGTTTCAGGCATACTCGCCCCGGGACGAGCCCATGGGGAGATGCATCCGCGAGTGCTCGCCAAGCTTCGCAGCACACCACGCCGTCCATTTGTGCGATACAGGAGTGTCCTGCCTGCCCGGTTCCAGCTTTTGCCTCTCTCATCGGAGCTGTCGTGTCAGGAGACTATGTCACCCTTGCAGAGCGGGCTGGCTTCGAGGTCGTGTCAACAGAGCTGGTACACAGCGAGGGCCACTATCCACAGGCATCCGCCAGAGCATACAATCGTGAGTTTATCGTGATCGTTCTGCGCAAGCCCACTTAATTCACTGACTCGGGAACCTAGCCGACGGTGATCGACATTTTACAGAACTGCCAGAAAGTGGTCCGCAGCGCTCACAGGGGCCACGGCCCACGGCATGTCCATGACCTGTTCTGCTCAGAAGACGGCGCCTTGCCACTGAGCCGTGTTGGATGAGAGCTTGGGCGTTCTGTGGCCACGAAGACTTTGCACGATGCGATTGGCCTCGAGAGTTTGGCGCAGAGAGTGGCTCTGCATTTTCGCTTCATTGCTACCTGCGCGAGGTAACCTGGGCAAAAGACGGAAGCAGCGATGGACAGCTTGACAGGCGTGTGCCGCGTGTGCCATGAAGCGGTTGCTCGCGACCTACGCTTTCAATTGGAGAGCCTGTGATCTCCAGTGAAACGAAGGGCCCCAAACGAGTTAAGCTTCTTGTAACGAGGGACGAGGGACAACTGTGTGTGCTAGCAACCCGAAGTTCCTCCTTCGACATCGAAGGTGTCGACAGCTAAAACATCGAAGGTGTTTTCGCTAAATGTGTTCTATCCGTCGCCGTTACGGCTAGAACCCCTTTGGGGGGTAGAAGATTTTCAGAGTATTATAGGAAAGGAAACGGGGGCTAGGCCCCCGCTCGCCGCTATGGAAGTGGAAGAAGTTCCGGATAGTCCGGCTCTATCCGAGGTGGAGGCAATGCTAGATGCGCAGCCACTGTCACCGGAACCCGAAGTGGAGCACCGGGACCCTCTGCTACGGAAGTGCCGCGACTACCTGCTAGAACAAGGGTTCCGCAATCCGGAGCTTGCCACGGTACGGGACGAGGACGTTCCGGGCCTAGCTAGACAACTGGCCCTCGAGCTGAGGATCCCCTTTAGTGCGGAGCTAGAACAGTTGCTCCGCTTCTTGATCGAGGAAGCTAGGGGGAAAGCCCCAGTCGAGATAAGGATGGCTGGTTTCCACCGGGAGCCTCTCTACTGGGCGACCTTGGAACCGCCGGAGAAGAGGCTACGTGGTGCGGACCCAGAGGAGCAAGAAGATCCTGCTAGACCCCCTCCCGGGGAACGACGCAGGAAGCTGATCCTAGAGGGAAGTGTGCTACAAGCCAGGGGAGAGAAACTTCTGGAGGTGTGGACCCTTCGGCTACACGAAGAACTCCGGGAGTGTCGGGCACCTGTGCTAGAGCAACTTGAGAGCAGCCTGGATCCGCAACGTGCCGCTAGCATGCTAGCAGGCAGCACGCGAGCCACCACCTTGAAACGCTACCTCACTACCTACAAAAGGTGGCGGCTATGGCTCTGGGAGGCTAAGCTCAAAAGGCCGCCGGGCCGCCCCGCTGACTTGGTGGATTATCTGGTGGTCCGGCGAGACGAACCATGTGGGCGCTCTATACCAGCTTCCATCTACAGTGCTATACTTTGGCTGGAAAAGGTCGGTGAGTTCCCAGCGGAAGAAAGAGCTACCGCGGGACGTCTCGCGCTGGCAGCTAGAGACAGCATTACGGAAGAGCTTTCACAGGGAACACCTCTCACGAAGAGGGCGCCTCGCTACCCTGTCTTCATCCTAGTGAAGCTAGAAGATCTGGTCCTTGATGCTACACAAGCTGTGGGGCACCGCATATGGGCCTGGGCCAAACTGGTGAAGACATGGGCTACACTCAGGTGGTCCGATCTTCAGGCCATTCTACCACATGAGCTACGGCTGGTGGAGGGGAGGCTGACCACCACGCTACGGAAGACAAAAACTTCCGGCCCCAACAAGAAGGTCAAGGAGCTACCTGTGTGCGTATCTGAGCACGCATTCTTCAAACGCAAGACGTGGCTACAGGTTGGCTTTCAGTTGCTAAAGGAAAGGGCACCCTATAAGCGGGACTACCTTCTCCCGCGTCTGGGTGGCCAAGGCTTGCTAGAGAACAAGATTGCGGAGTACCCGGACGCGGTGGTGGCTACAGCAGCGCTGCTACATCTTCTTGGGCTGCCTTCTGTGGTCCAAGGGTTCTGGACTGAGCATAGTGAGCGGTCGGTCTTGCCAACGGGCCTCTCGCTACAAGAGACGCCACCTGCCGACAAAGATTTGCTAGGTCGTTGGAAGCCAGAGAGCTCCGACACGTATGCTAGAACCTTCCCAGGAAGGGTCGCCCGGCTGCAGGCAATTTTTGCCAAAGCTGCAAAAGGAGCCGGCCACAGCGAGGTGCTAGACGAACGCGAGATAGGCACTTCGCTGCGGGACTGGCTTGTTGATAAGAAAGGGCTGCCGCCAGCGCAGGCTGAGTGGCAGGCTCGGGTGCTAGAAATCACCTGGAAAACGGATGTGGAGCTAGATGGACCGGTGGCTGGAGTGGTGCCCCCGCCGATTTTAGAGTCCAGTGCTAGCTCTTCAAGCAGCTCCACCACGTCGAGTGGGGACAGCAGCAGCTCCAGCGAGGAGCGGGCACCCAAACCTGCTAGACTGCAGGACAGGAAGACGGCCTATGTGGTCGTGGGGCAGCCGGGGGCGGTCTTCAGGCTACACAAGGCTTGCGGGAAAGGATGCTGGATGGGCCAGCGCCGCTACTTTCGGAATGCTAAAAATTTTGACGCCCTTCCAGCAAGCACCGAGTATACTCATGTGTGCCGCCTCTGCTGGCCTCAGCAAGACGATATGCCCGAGGAGCTAGAAGACGGGTCGGAGACCTCCACGGCTCACTCGGGGGATGAACCGCTAGAGATAGAGCCGGCTGCTTGATAGCATCCCGGGCCTGAGTGCGAATGCTCTGGCTAATGGGGGCCTGGCAACTGCCACGGCTACGCAAGTACTTTCGGCACGCTAAAATGAATCTTGCTCTCGTTTTGCTTTTTCTCCTCTGGGGGGGTCTCCTTGGGGGGGGGTCTCTCTCGGGGGGGGAAGACAGAAGAGGAGGGGAGAGAATCACGTTCTGCTACATGTTCTTGCTGCGGTCTTGCTACATGTCCTTGCGGTCGCTGTGTGCGCTAGGCTTCCCTCTGGGTTTCCCCCTTGTCCCTAACCCCATTTCGAAGGTTGCGAGGCGGGCTAGGTCAGGCAGTGAGTGCGCAAGGGTTCGCTCTTCGAGACGCTTTCGCTACAGCTTTCTCTCTCGAGAGGATCTGTGCTAGATAAATCCTGGCGAAAGCAACAGCTAGCAGCCATCGGCATGGCTAGCTCCCAGGTGCCCGCTACAGAGCACTCGGCGATAGACTGCGCTACAGCGGTCAAGCACTGGGTGCAGTCCGACAAGGACACGCTAGAAGGCGTGCTCCGAGCTCGGCTGCATCCCGACGAGCTGCAGGCGCTAGTGGACACGGTCAGGAAGGCCCAGGTTCCGCTAGGCCTCCGTGCGGCTACAGCGGAAGGGGCCTCCAAGCAACGCTTCCCGGAGGGCTCCCGCTACACCAACCGCCTTGACTGGCTAGCGAGCTTGACCTCGCTAGATGACCTCACCGTGGAGGAGGAGAAGGAGCTAAACGAGGTCGAGAGGGCCCTGCTAGTGGACAAGGTCCACGGAGTGGTGCAGCAGGAGCCGCTACCACCTGATGAAGTCATCGACCTCGCTACCATGAAGGCACAGCATCTGGCGGAGCTAGAGAAGAGACAGGAAGAGCTGCTAGCTGAGTTCCAAGCGGAACAGCTAAAGCAGCAACAAGCACAGGAGGCGCAGCTCCGCCAGACGCTAGAAGAGTTGCAGCAGAGGCAGCAGCAAGAGCTAGAGCGAGCACAGTTGGCCCAAGCCACACAGAGTGCCGCTACAGCCGCTGAGGCACCGCGGGGCAGCAACGACCCAGGCCCCGCTACTGCCGCTCCAACCGCTGCTGCTACAAGGGACGATGCCCGGCGCCGCTCTGCTACGCCCAACAAGATGGGGCGAGGGGGCTTTCCACCGCTACAGGAAGCTAACCCTCTGCCCGCTCGCACGTTGGGTCGCCAGGAGCTAGTCCAGGGACGAGCGGCTACAAAGGAGAGGCGCTCGCATACACCGAGGCGGTCGCTAAGCAGGTCGGGCGGCGGCCAGCAGCAGCCACCCACGGCGCTACCAGATCCCAACCGCACTTGGGACGTGGTGCTGCTAGCGGCTAGGCCCATGAGACCGACCTTGCGCGATGGCCCTCTCACTTCGCTACATGACAACCGCTCCGTGGCCGAGCTACGTGGCACAACTGTGCCGATCGAGCTCATCATGCCACCGCCGGTGGGAGCCCATGCTAACAGCCGGCCGCAGGGCGAAGAGGGCAACCTGCTAGAGCTCTCCTGGTCGTCAGTGCCGCGGCCTCTGTGGCCGCTAGGCACCTGGACCTTGGAGGAGGGGCCGCCGGCTGCAGCTAAAGGCAAGGGGAAGGGCGCCGCGAAAGGCAAGGACAAGATGGCACCGGCCAATGCTACCAACCCTGGGTGGCTACAAGACCTGACGGGCTACGACCTGGAGCAGATCTGTGCGATGCCTCCGACCGGCCGGGCGCTAGAGCTGGCGACCTGGATGCAGCGGGACGTGCCCTTCCCGCTACATGTTGCTAATGATGAGGACGATACCTTCGGCTTCGGCCGTTGGGACGATAGAAACTATATTTTTAGATGTATCATACGGTGCCCCAATTGCCACGCTAACATGTGCAACAGGCGCATGTGGTGGCCGCTAGACGACCACCATGCTCACTGGTGCACCCAGTGCATGCGCTAACTCCGCTCTTGAGGGCCCGCTATAAAGGCCGTTGCGCTAGGACTCCGTTTGCCAGAAAGAAGGGAGGCGCGAGAGAGAGGTTTTCCGCTAAGGGGCAAAGCCTTTTAGGGGGGAAAACTGAGGCGCCCACAAAAGGAGGGACCCGACCACTTCCTCCCCACCTTCCCTGCTGGGCCTGGGGGGGGGGGGGGTCTGGGAACGGGGCCGTCTCGCTAGGTCTCCGAGAGTTGCCAGGAGCAGGCCGCTTGTGCTGTGCTACCTCCACTCTGCACCCGCTACAGCCTCGTTGTGCTCTCCTGGCCTCCCTAGTGTAAGACCTCCGGGCTAGCCATGGCAGCGGACGCCGCCAAGCTGGCTAAAG